CTTTATTTTTCCTCTTTCTTTCTCTTCTCCATTTATGTGCAGTAGAAAATCTTTCATGAAACTTCCCCCAGGGATCTGTACTAATGTAAACCATAAAATGATGTAGAAAAATAAGTATAGGCAAGAAAGATGCTTTCTTGCTCTTGGATATGGAGGGATTTAGGACTTTACTGTACATTAAATTGGCTGCTCACTCCTGTCCAGGAAGGTGGAATCAGACAAGAGAGCTGATCAACCTACATCGGTCTTTCCTAGAAACACTATATCCACAAAGATCCTCAGGTAACTGTGGTAACAAGTTGCAACTCACTTAGAAATATTTTCTACATAAATCAGGAGATGCAAGGCAGTAGAAATGCAATTTTCAACACATTGGGCCCCTGCTGTTCCTCCAGGGCTAGGTGTTCAGCTGTTGCTTCTTGTACAGGCTGCAGGTGCCGGGAGGGCACTGTGGCTCCACAGCACAGAAGTATGAGGCTGAGTCCTCAGGCTGGGAATCTCTGATGTAGAGTTGGCTATGCCGTTCCTTAAAATTGACTGTGGCTCTTAGCCTTCCTTTTTGCTGCTCTCCTGAAGCTATATAAAACAAAGATATAAGGTGTCCTTCTGAACTTTGTCGGAACCAGTGCATACTGTTGATAGAGGTCGAATAATTGCATATTATGGAGGAGCTCTTCCTCTCTTGGAGAATCTGGACCCGGGGTCTCTGCTCCACCTTAATTTGTGCTCTTATCCCTGTTAAAAAGGAGAAAAGTAGACACAGGTGAGGGTCATTGCAGAATTAAGACAGCTGTTTCCAGGTATATGAAGTTTTCTTCTAGTTTCCTTCAGCAAAGCAGTAGACACAGCACAAAAGACTTGTATTTTCTCCCTTCTCCTGGCATTTCCTTCCCTCCCTTGCTCATTTCTAAATTTGGTTGAGATATTCCTACAGATTCCCTTGGAATGGTTTTAACTCACAGTAAATTTGTATCCACAGGAGGCCCAGGGAGACTCTTATTTTTATCTTCATGATTTTTCTGCTATGTTGACACACTTTGAGGTCAGGTGTCTTCAAATATCGGTATGTAACATCTCTTGAATTTGAGCTAATTTTGTTTGGTCTAGCAGAGCAATTTCATGAGATGCATCCAGCAGCAGCCACTTCTGAACTTTATCACTCAGCTTGGTAGTGGGAAGCCCCACCCACCTATGGTTTAGTCCACATTCTACACTGTGTGTGTGTGTGTGTGTGTGTCAGTGTGTGTTGGGGATAACGTAGGGACTGTCTTTTTAGGTTTTAAGAATCCTCCTTTTCAGTACAATATGGGTATATATAGAATAAATTGGGTGAAGAATGGGGACTCAGTAGCCTATGGGCAGGATAGAGAAATAGTATCTATCTGTGAAGAGACATAGATAAGGTGTATTGCTCAAGCTAAATTCTGGAACATGATCAAAGTAGAAACTTAGTTTTGAGTGGTGAGTGACTTGTATAAAAATTGTAATGAATTACCATTTTTTAATGTTCCATAAATTGTTTATTGAATTTAGGAAGTTAACTGATAAAACATCAGCCCAGAGTATGTGGCCTATAACATATACCAGTCATAACAAAATCGATTTCTACTCTGTCCATTCAAAAGTTAACACATAAACCACTGATTTTCAATCGTGGGCCATCAGCACCTCTGGATGGGGGCACATGGCTGTCTGGAGACATATGTCTTTATCTTGACAGAGGGTATGCTGCTGGCATTAGGTAAGTAGAGGGCAGAAGGGCTGCCAAGTATATTACAGCACACAGAAGGCCCCTACCCCTAAAAGAATCACCTGGCCCCAAGTGTTAAAATAACATTGCTTTTGAGCAACTTTTTTTTTTTTTTTTTGGTATTGGGGATTGAACTCAGGTCCTTGCACTTGCAAGGCAGGCCACCGAACCACTGAGCTAAATCCCTGGCCCTGGAGAAACTTTTATAAAAATAACTTTCAGTTCACTCTTCTGCCATTTCTCTTGCTTTTGTTCCTCCACCCACTTTTGTCAACTACACTTTTCTTTATTTGCCTTTCTTTTCTCTTTGTTTTCCTGTCCTCCAGTTCTGATCTTATAGGAAATATAAGACTGGTTTAGTGCAGAACAGTAATTTCTGGGCAAAGACTAAAGCTCATATTTGTCCCTGACGTTAAAACATATGGATTATTGAAGTCAACTCAAATACATGTAAAGCAAATTGATTTGCTCTGAATGTTGGTGAAGAGAGGAACAAATTGGAATAAGAATATACAAGATCAAAATATACGGTGAATATTAAAATTTTAAAAATCGATTATAGTAAAGGACACATTACCAGGACGCCCCTTCACGATACTCTGTCTCACTTCAGAAACACTTATTCCTTTGTTCTTGCCACTTTGGAATCAACTTTGAAGGCTATTTTTTGTGTATTTGCGAGATGAGGTCAAGCATATGAGTGAATACTGCTATTATCTAGTGAAAAGTAGGTTTCTAAAATCATGAAGGTGTGTCACTGCCTTATTTAGCATATGACTTCTGGTTCCTGCCTGAAGTCAAGATGACTATGAAAGGTAAGTATTTTAAATCATGACAGACGGACTAAAGACTCACGAAAGAGGGCTTCCAGAAGTGCTTCAGAAAGTGACAACGATGAAAGGGGATGCTTGTGTTCAAAGTGACAGGGAGATTTTTGAAGGTGATCATTACAAATTTTTCTTGTCCAACTTCTTCCTTGCTAACATCACCTACCCTCTGTCTAAATTATTAGCACTCTTTGTGTTTTAGAGATATTCAATCACCAGTCATTAATCCTCCTGAAAAAGGAAACTTTTGTGTGATTAGAGCGCCTCCTTGTGGACTGAAGCTCAGAGCCAGGGCTGCTTTCTGTGCAGGGCTGCAACCACCCAACCAGACTTGCGCAGCTGGTTCTTGGGCCTCGGCGGTATATTTTCAGGAAGGCACAAAGTTCCAGAGAATGAAGAATGCCAGTTTGTCCTTGGAATCTATGCTGTAAATGGAGATTATAGGTGCTGTAACCATGCATAAGATCCTTGGAACTCATGAGGGTGTCATTTCCATATTTCCTTTTGGAAAGCTGAGACCCACTTTCAATTTAAATGTTTTAACCCATTTTGCCAGACAATTCACAAAATGTTACTAATTCTCATAATAGTACTGTAAATTAAATACTTACACTTCTCATAGTTCTTAGGAGGATATTTATGCTCATGAAGTTAATACAAAATTCCCAAAGTCACACAGCCAGTAAATGGCAGAGGCCCCTTGACAATTTCACAATGTCCGTGTGTTGTTTTCATGGAGAGAGCCTTGTAATCACAGTGTTTCTGGAAAGCTTCTGAGAAATCTGCTAGGGAAATAAAAAGTAAGCCTCCTGCCAACGTAGAAGATTTCCACAAAGATAGAAAAAAATAACACAGTTTTATTATTGAATGAGCACTAAACCAGAATGTGTTGCATATCCCAGGCAAACCCCTGAACATATGGTGAAGACAGAAAGAAGTCTTGTCCTTTTATAGAGCCAGGCAGATGTGCCAAACTGCAAAATCATTCAACATTAACCATAGCTGAGTCCTCAAGTAAGATGATTAATAGCACATTTGTCACATGTGTGTCATCCTATGTTTACCTGTAATCGACATAAGCAACCACATCTGCTAATTGTCTTTTTCTAAAGGAAAATATGTCATGTTCTGTGACAAAAGGTGGGCCTTTAACTTGGAGAAAACACCAGTAAGCTTAGGTGCCTCTCATCCCTCAGGAACTAGGAGATGATGCTGCATTCCCTGATGGTCACACTTCAGAGTTAGGGATCCCAGGCCCTGGGAAAAGATAATCCTGGATAGTAAAACTGATCAGAAGCTTATTTAGCTTTTAAGACTATATGTTTCTTAAAGAGACAGAGAAATTATTTACTATTACAAGTTTTCCAAAGTAAACACTGAGAGAAAGAGAAAAAGTGTTGCCTTTCTTTTTTGCGCCAGGGAAATTAAAATTGTTTTACTATTTCTAATGTGCATTTTCCCTTAAAATGGGTACAATTCAGGGATGCCATATGATGAATCTCTCATGGAATGCTTTTGGAATGGTGTCTTAGTTCCTTTTCTCATTGCTGAGACAAAATACCTGATGCCCACAATTAAGGGAGGAAAAGTTTATTTGGCTCAGTTTGTACAGGTTTTCGTTCATAGTTGGCTGGCTCCAAGGCAGGGTGATTTGGCAGACAAGCATCACAGAGGAGAAATTTTATGGTGGGCAGAAGGTAGTAAAACAAGCAAAAGGGTCTTAGCTCCTTTTTTCTTCCCCTTTTATATTCTATCTAGGCTATTGGATTAGGGTAGCACCACGCCAGTCAGTGAACTGATTTAGTAGTCACCCACCCTTAATTCTAGCACTGCACCATGAATCAGTCACATACCCTAGATTTAGTCACATCTGTAAAAGCCCTGCCTATGACTGAATGAGACTTTGGTGGGACATTTACATAAAAACCATAACATTCTGAGCCTGGCTCCCCAAAGACACATGCAAAAAACATTGAGTCTATCTCTAGGAGTTGCCAAAGTCCTAACAGTTTCAGCATTGTTGAAAAGTCCAAGTCCAAAGTCTCCTATGAGATTTAAGGCAAACTCACTCTTAGCTATGAGCCCTTTTACAAATGAGATGAAAGTTAAACCCTTCCAACACTCAATGGCATAAAATAGACATTTCCATTCCAAAAGGTACAAAGAGGGGAATAGAAAGAAATGGTCACCAAGCAAGTTCAAAATCCAGCAGGCCAAACATTAAGTCTCATAGCTCCATCTAGAGCCTACCTGGCAATCTGTGGCAAGCTGTGAACTCCAAAGGTCTTGGGTGGCTCCAACTCAATAGCACTACCAGTGGTCATATCTCCCATGGCTTCTCTCTTGGGCCAGCTCTGCTCCCTCCTTGCAGCTTTCCTTGGATGATCCACATCTCAGGCTTCTCCAGCTTCTGAGATCTCTACTGCACCTTTGGCTTTGCACGGACAGCTTCACACACTGACCTCTTAGGGGCACACTGACCTTCTTCTGAAACTTGGGTGAAAGGCTTCCTGACCCCAAAATGCTTTCATTTTGCATACTCCTAGAACAAGCATCCCTTAGATAATGCTGAAGTCTATCACCAGCTGGAGCAATAGCCAGGCTTCCTTTTCTCTTGGCTGTAGGTGTTGAGTGTCTATTATACTAAATCCTAGTGAGTAACTTCCCTAGGCTGCTACCATTCTGGAACATGATACTCTGGGTCTACTCAAAGCAAATTCTTTCACTTTAGCAATTTAGAGGTCACAAAGTCTGGGGTCTTGCCGGTCCTTGTGATGTTTTCAGGCCACCTTTGCCATCATCTTCTGAAGTACTTGGCTTTTTCTTTCTAATCTTTTTGGCAACTAATTTCACCCTTGTTCTATCTTTGCAGGCCACAAATTTACTGGGGTTTCCTTTCTGAGAAAACTCACAACCTTTTGAATCATTCTGCTGGGCTCTTCACTCTTGATTCTCAACATAAATCTAGCTAAAAGCCCCCAACAGTAGCCATGCAATTGCCTCAACATTAGACTGCCTTGAAATTTCTTCTGCAAGATTCATTAGTCTGTTTCCCTTAATCCCAATCTCAGGCAAAGTCTCTGAACATGAACAAAATATAGACAAGCTTTCTGCCAAGCCATAGCACACATCATCTAAAGTATGACAGCCAATGCGGTCCTTCTTCCCAATAGAATCCACCCAAGCCTCGTATTTACTTGCATCATTTTGATCAGCATTCTGGTCTTCTGAGCTCTAATCAGAATCTCCTATCACATACAGTTTAAGGTGTTCCAGCCCCTTTTTTCATCTGGCATCTCCAAACCTTTCCTCATTATCTTTATTCCCACAAAAAACAATTTAAAGGTTCCTGAACCACATGGTCAGGTACAGTCACAGCAATGACCCCAGTTCTAGTACCAAATTCAGTCTTAGTTACTTTTATCTCATTGCTGAGACAAAATACCCAATGCCCAAAGTTAAGGAAAGAAAAGTTCATTTGATTTACAGTTTATAGAGGTTTCAGTCCATAGTTGGCTGGCAGGGTGGTATGGAAGATAAGCATTGCAGAGGAGACATGATTCATGGTGGGCAAAAAAGTAGCAAAGCAAGCAAAGGGGCCTTAGCAGCCTCTTTTTCTTCCCCTTTTATATTCTGTCTAGGCTACTGGGATTAGGACAGAGACAAATCAATCAGTGGACTGATATAGCAATCACCCAACCTTAATCCAACCACTTTTAGTCCTAGCATTGTACCATGAATCAGTCACACACCCTGGACTCAGCCACCTCTGAAGAAGCCCCAGCTATGACTGCATGAGGCTTTGGTGGGACATCTAGACATAAGCCATAACAAATAGAGCAATGTGTGGTTAAAAAGAAAAACATGAGCTTTTTCTCATTATTTACATAAACTTGGATGTCATTAAAAGATATTTATTAAAAGACATGAAAAAAGGCTAGATTCCATAGCTTTCCATGAATGTAATAAATTGATAAGAAATTTTAAAGTGAAGCCCCTCCAATGGAAGATTTTGTCTTTCATAAAATTTATAGGAACAGACATCAAAGTAAGTTGGCAGAATAGAAATACCCTCTGTGTGACTCTGTGAGTGAAAAGAACTGACGTTAGGAGAAACTATATGCAGAGGAGAGAAAGATAGTAAGAGATCCATGAATCAAGAAAGATGTAACATAAATGCTAAAAGCACGGGGAAGCAAGAAAACACAGAGGAAACTGCAAAATGATCTGCAAAGTAAACCCTGGCTCCTTGGAAATGAGGAACCAACTCTGCATGCCCAAGGTGGCTGCAAGAGAGAAGCATAGTGTTGTAAGCTGTAAACGCAATGTGGGAGTTTAGTCTGAAAGTGACTCCTCTACAGGGCAGGCTAATTTGGAGAAGAAATCCACTGCAGAGCTCACCATATCTTGGAGTGCTTGAACTAGAAGCCATCTTTAGGGGGTTCTTATTATTTTGGAATGAGTCCTCTGGGGACCACAAGTCTCAGGAAGACTATAGTGACTTTGTGGGAGGCAATTATGGAAGACATTCATGGAGAGGTGGAAGATTAATCACAGGTCATCTGAGAAGTTTGAGGCAACAGGAACCTTGGGCTGTGGAAGGCACAGGCGTTGGCAGCGCTGCCTGCTGTGGTGAGAATTAAGATCCATCACATGTAGTTTTCTAATGTGGATGCCCTAGAAGTGCTGGGGTCCATTCCAGTGGGCTGCTTGGTTCCTAGAGCTGCTCTCTTCTGTCACAAAACTCAGTATCATATTTTATTCTCCTATCCTCTGGCTTGGACATTTGCTATGTCTCCTGGTGTAGGGACAAGGAGGCCCCTTGGGTGAGTGGGCCATATGCCAGGAAGTTAGTTGGGGTAACAGTGCCTCTGGATGTGTAGAATAAAGGGCAAAAAGCCTCTGCAGTGAATGTAGCCTTGTTATAGACGACATACCATTAACTGGTCCCACCAGTAGGAAATGTGGGACAGGAACAAGCATTCACATAGCACCAGTCAGTGATGTGGGAATGAAAAGAAAATGTAGATGCTAAGTACCATTGACTACCCTCCCATAACACCTGGTGTATTACAATATTACAGATCCTAGAAAGAGATCTTTCTAATCCAGATACCTCAGCAAGAAGAAATATTTTGGACTCATTGTTGTGCCTTCACTTTTATCAGTACTATTTTCGTTACATTAGATTTGTATTGATTTTCTTCTAATTTGTTGAATTGTATGCACAGTTAACATTTTGTTTTTTCTTTGCTAATGAAAGTGATTATAAAAGGTAGATTTTAACATCAATACATTAGTTATTATGAGCTGGTCTCCAGACCAAAGAATCAGGTCCCAGACATTCTTTCCTGTAAAAAAGAAAGTACGAGCATTCTGGCCTTGGGAGCATGTATATGTTGTTGTGTGTATTTTCTGCCTTCCTAGGCTGCCATCCATTTTTGTCCTGGGGATGTTAGATGGGAGCAGCCCCATCAGTCACTCTGTGCTTCTCGGAGCGCAGTCATATACAGCTGCTTCTTGCCGATTGACCCTGGAAGGATCAGCCTGCTGGACTTTCCGTCTGGAGTAACTGATGAACTGCTCGTGTCATTTGTCACGAGACTTGCGCGTCCTTGAATCTAGAAATCTACTTTTTGGATGAGAAGCTATCTGTTGGAGACTGTTTTCATTAGCGGCTGAGATGCGGTTGTAAGATTCGGGATGACTCCTGCGAGTGACTGAGGATCAGCTTGCTAAGTTCAGGAGGATGAGGAACGAGGCTGGAAGCAGCAGGACTGCAAATGTTCACACCTTGGCAAGGAGCACAGCTGGGGCCTGGCTTCCCTCACACTCCAGACAGGAAGCTTAGGACAGTGAGGCTTATTTTATATGGGATCTGTGCGCTCTGATGACACATGCCCCAACTCTGATATGGACAAGGAAAAGGACACAGTGAGAGGGACTTTAGGGGATTCTGCATCCAACACGCAACTGCCTTCGGGATCACCTACTGAAGAGGTGACATGTGAGGACAGCAGGAAGCCCCCGTGGGGTCATGGTCTCTGGTGTGCCTCGCCTCTTTACTTGAGACCTTTTGTGGTCTGTGGTACCTGGAGTCGCAGCACCCCGGCACTGACACAGTTATTTACCGGAATTCAGTCTCTGGTGTCCATTCTGAACTAGCATCTCCTTCCTAGCTCAGTTTTTCTCATTCTAGTTTTTGCTTCTATCTCTGAGTTTGACTACAGAATTCTTTTTGCTCTGATCCATCCGTCTGTGACAATATCAATCCTTTTTATAATTTTTATGATGATAATGCATTTTTTATATTTATTTATTTTTATTATTTTTAATATTATTGGTATATGTTTGGGATGATGATTAAATTCATTGTGGGTATTTGTACATGTGCACAAGACATCTTCATTCTTTTCTCTCTCTCTTCCCTTCCCGCTCCCTCCTCCATCTCCTGGTCCCCTCCCTATTTATAAAATATTTATTTATCTGTTTCCTATTATCTAACTTTATTTGATCTTTAGTTTATTTGTACTTTGGGTTTCTCATGTAAGAGAAACCATGTGATATTTAAGCTTGTGTGTTCGATTTATTTCACAACATTGTGGTCTCAGGAGAGTCCATTTTCTTCAAAATGACTAAAATTTATCTTTCTTTTTATTGAGTAGTATGCCATTGTGTATAAATACCACATTTTCTTTTGTATTTTTTCATTAAGTTTATTGATACTCTTTAGGTGTACAGTTCAGTTACATTCATCTTTGGGATCTTGTAACTTTACATGATATATATTGATTCTTATTTTTTCCCCATGCACCTTCCCTCCCTTCACCCCCTCCACCATTCACTATTTATGTTTCTATTTCTTCCTTTGCTCATATTCTTTATTTTCCCTTCTTTCCTTTCCCCTACCCTTCCTACTTCCCCTAATCCTTTAGCCCATTTCTTCTTATTTTACATTATCAATTATAGTTTGAACCTTATTTACACTTTTAGTTTTCACACCAGAGAAATTATTCAGTATTTATACATGTGCATCCTATTTATTTCACTTAAGAATATGGCCTCAATGTGCCCCCATTTCTACAAATGTCTCTAACTTCTCATTCTTTATGGCTGAGTAGTACTCTATTTTATTAAAAAAAACCCACATCTTCTTTATTCAGTCTCCAGTTGATGGGCAATTGGGCTGTTTCCAAGTTTTACCTATTACAAACTGTGTTGCTATAAACATGGATGAGCATATATTTTTGTAGTATGATTCATTTAATTCTTATGGGAAGATACATAGCAGAGGGATAGCTGGGTCAAAAGGAACCTCAAATCCTAGTTCTTTAGGGTATCTCCATATTGATTTCCACAGTAGTTGCACCAGCAATGGAGAAGAAAGGGTTCCTTTCTTCCCACAGCCCAACTAACCTTGGTTAATTTCTTGAT